TCTGCCCTCAAGTTGTTCCTTGTGCATCCCTGCACCTGGACACAGGTGTGGGGAGAGACCTCCCAAGACAGCTCAGTCTTGGTACCTGTTAGTCTCTTATAGTGTTGACTGAGGTGATCTGGGTTCTAGAAAGTGGTGTTCACCATGGACAGCTGCAGGGAAACCAGTGGCTGTGTCAGGCAGCAGCTCTGCCAGAGCCTCAGGTTGGGGCTCAGGTACACACACACACACTGAGGCTCTGCCACAGGACAGACAATGCTGAGCTCATGTCTTTGTGTTGCTCAAAGTGACAACTATTCTTTTTCTTCCAGTACCCAAAGGGGTTACAAGAAGGCTGGAAGGACTTTTCACAAGGGCATGGAGGGATAGGACAAGAGGGGATGGCTTTAAGCTGAAGGAAGGCAGGGATATTAGATATTGGGAAGGAATTCTTCCCTGGGAAGGTGGTGAGGCACTGGCACAGGCTGGACAGGGCTTGGAGCAACCTGGTGTAGTGGGAGGTGTCCCTTCCCATAGCAGGGGGTGGGACAAGATGATCTTCCAACCCAAACCAATCTGTGATTCTATGATTCTTGCATAAGTGAAAGGCTCAACTTGTGTTTTACTCATCCCTTTTTAATGACTGATGAGAAGATAAAGCAAAACCACTCAGATTTTTGAGGGGCTGATTTATTTTGTCTCTGTTTTGTCTCAAACAGCAGAAGTCAAAGGTGAGTATTGCTGGGTTATATGCTGTGTTACTGCCTGGACATGATCAGTGGAACCACACAGCAGTTACATGATCATGGTGATCTTTCAGCAGTTTGGGAAAGGCTTTTTCCTAGCAGTGCCAGCTGTGCCCCTTGATGTTACATGGAATGGTTCAGCTTTTTGGGCCTTTGGGATAGGAAGCTGCAGTTTGTTAAATGTTGTCCTGGCCCTCCTGAGTGCTAGTGAGAACCCTCCATCCTTCTGCTTTGGTCCTCATCTGCTGACCATGTCCTGTTTGACATGTCAATGGTGAGATCCATCCCTCAGCATCGATCCTCTCTGTGCTTTGTGCTGAGCTGTCCAGCTGCTGCCAAAACCTGCTCTGTTAGTGTCTGTGCTGCCAAGCAAACCTGTGCTGCTGGCACATGTTGCCAGCAGAGCCCTTGGGGTCTTGCCTTATGGTATTTTGTTGGCAGTGGAAGGGCTTTCAACCTTCCTTCTCCTCCTTCAAAAAGCTCCAGCCAACCTTGTGTTGGTGATGACTTTCATGGGGTCCTGTTAGCTGGGACCTTTGCAGCATGATGCATGTGGTGGGGTGAAGGGGTCCAGCCCATGCCATGGCTATCCAGCTGGGAGCTGAGTGCTCTGCCCCTGTCCATCCATACCTCTCTTCCTCCTGACTGGATGTCTCACGGAGCAAGTGGGTCTCAGGCTTCCTAGAGCTCTACAGGCTCTGTCAATCTTACCCTCTTTCCCCCAGTGCATGCTCCTCTAATTGCTCTTCCCAAGGATTTGCTTCTTTCTGGGCCTTTTTGTGCCATTCTTGGACTGTATTTACCTCTCTTGCTGTTCTGGGGGTATCAAGGTATGTCTCCAGCACACCAGGTGTAGACCAGGCTCTGTTTGCAAATTGAGGAGGTCACTCAGAATCTTCTCGGGGTTGTGGGGGATGCAAGGAAGTAGCAGTTGAGCATTAAGGGGCACTTGGGGTTCCAGAGGTTGGAACCAGCTGCCTGTGGGACCCTGAACTCTGCTCCTTCTCCCTGCAGACATGGATGAGTCGATGCGCTCCTTCGCGGAGAAGGTCTTTGCCTCGGAGGTGAAAGATGAAGAGGTCAGGCAAGAAATCTCTCCTTTTGATGTGGAAGAAATCTGCCCCATCTCCCACACGGAAAGGAGAGTGCACATGATGCTTCAGGAGACCAGTGCCACAATAGAAAAGCGGTGAGCACCAAGCAGGGAACCTGGGAAAGGAGAGGAGCAGTGTCTGCACATCCCCAGCCAGAGCAGGCAGGGGGGACATAAATCAAGGCTCACCACACCTGTGGGATAAATCCTTGGTAATCCCAGGGCATCTGTCAGGTACTTCAGGGTTTCCTCTCCAACTATTCCCACTGTTGGACAGAAAGACATCCTTGGCCTGTTCCCTGGTTGTCAGCATAGCAATGGCCACAGAGCTGTTGGGAAGGGAGGCTTGGAGACTTTTCTGTGCAAAGCTGTGACTTCCAAAATCTGTGGCTACTTTGTGTGCTGTGGGCTCTGCTCTTGGCAGCATGTTTAAGGTGCTCAGAAAGCACCAGTGGGATGATTGGTGCTGTGCACAGTTAGACCATGGCTGTGGTGAGTGCCCTGCACCTCTGGGTGAGCAGAGATTGGGGCTGTTTGCCTGAGACTTTCCTTCCCGGCAGCAAGAAGCGCCTGCTCCGCATGAAGATGGTTTCGTTGGCAGTGCCCATGGCTCAGAAGTCTGAAACCAGCCTGTCTGACATTGATAAGGTCATCTCCACCTCTCCCCTGTACCAGGCTGTGCCTGACTTCCAGCGGGTGCAGATCACTGGGGATTATGCCTCTGGGGTAGGTACTCACATGGCTGTTCCCTTCCCATGCTGAGCTCCTGTCCCTGGGCAGTGCCCAGTGCCACAGGAGTCTGTACCAGCTGCTCTGGGGACAGGCTGTGTCTCCAGTTCACTCTGTGCCTCACAAGCTCCTGCTGGTGCCCTGCTGCATCCCTGGAGGATCTGAATTCCTTAGCAGGAATCTGTGAGGTGCTGCATACAGCAGCATTCTCAGGCAGGGCAGAGGGGAGGGCATGGCAGAACAGGCTGTGCTCATTCTGTCACATCCTCTCTGCTTGCACACAGCTATATCTGTCCAAGATCTGTGCACATCCCAGAATGGCTGAGGGAGGTCACCTGGTCCAAGCCCCTGCTCAGGCAGGGTCACCTAGAGCCAGTTGACCAAGACTGTTAGCACGTCCTGTGCTAATCCCTCCTTCTCCTCCTGCTCCTCAGCCTCCTATTACATCTGTGCTGCTCCTGAGATCCCTCCTGGGCTGCTCAGCTTGGAGCTGCATAGCAGAGGAGGAATTAGGGGAATTGAGGGCTGGTGATGTTCTCCCACACTGCTCCACTCTGGCCTCTTCTGACTGCCCAAAACACTTGTCTATGCAGTAAATCAAGAATGGTTGACACACTGGGTCAGTGGACGTTGTTGTTCCTGCTTCAGTTTCAGCTTGGGCTCCAAAAATAGCTTTTAATGTTTTGCCCAGGCCTGGCTTCCATTTCAAGGCCAGCTACAGATTGCAGTGAGGAATTTAAGAGGGGATGACACTGGAATTCACTAGTTCTGGCACCAGGGACTTCCCTTTGCCATGTCTGGGATTCTGCCTGTCATCCCTTCCTTGCCCTGCTCAGGCAGAGCAATGGGAGGGAGGGGATGAGATGAGATGAGATGAGATGTATCTTGCTGTGACCAAAATTGTCCCTCTCTCCATCTGGGTACACTAGGGTGTCTCTCAGGCATCCAGGTCCCAGTTGTGTGGTTGTCTTCAGGAACAACCTTCTTGCAGGTGACAGTTGAAGACTTTGAAGTTGTCTGCAAAGGGCTATACCGTGCCCTGTGCATCCGGGAGAAGAACATGCAGCAATCTCTGCAGAGGTTCCCCAAGACCACCTCGCAGTACCTCCGTGCCATCGAGGGCAAGGCCTGGAGGGTGACTGACACTGGCCCAGGTACACCCAAGCACCTGGAGGGGCTTCCTCTATGGCTGCAGCGTGGGCAGGGCTGAGGAAAGGGTTGTGGAAGTGTTCCACATGGGAATCACTTGCCCAGACCTCCTCTTTGGTGTCAGAGTGGTGGGAGGTCCCTGCCTGCTGCTGGGATGGGGGAGCATGGCAGGATTGGGGGTTTGGGCTGGCAGCCTGTGCCTTATGGAATTCTCCTTCTGGTGCAGTGTTCAACCCCCCAGTGAAGGAGGGACAGGATCCCTTTGAGACTGAGAGTCTTCCTGAGGACCTGGGATACCACATCCAGATGAAGGATGGGATAGTTTACATCTATGCAGACAAGGCAGCAGCTGAGAGAAATGAGCCAAAGGACCTGCCCTACCCCAACATCGAGCACTTTGTGGATGACATGAACTTCCTCTTGGTTCTGGTTGCAAAGGGACCTGTGTAAGTGCACCACTCAACAGGTCCTGGCTCAGCAGGCAGAGGGAGGTCAGGGCAGGTCCTTCCTTCCTGGGAGAAGAGAGGAACCTGCTGATGACACAACTGCCAGAGTGTCCTTGGCCCTTGTCAGCCCTCTTGGTTTGGGTCTTAAGCAAAGTAGCGTTCAGGGATTGGGGACATGCCCTGCAGGTATGTTCCACCTGGCCAGCCTTCCTCTGAAGCTCTGTAATAGAGCCAGGAGAAGCACCTCAGGGAAGGACCTGGACAGCATGAGCTCCTCCACCTCAGGTGAAAGCTGCATCCCTGTGCTGAGGGCTGAGGAGTCACTGTTCTGCCCTTTTCTTTCACCAGTAAAACCTATGCTCACCGGCGCCTCAAGTTCCTCCTGTCCAAGTTCCAAGTGCATGAGATGCTAAATGAGATGGAGGAGATGAAAGAGCTGAAGAACAACCCCCACCGGGACTTCTACAACTGCAGGAAGGTAAAGGGCAAAGCTTACAGACTTAGTGACCTGAAGAGGAACTGTCTTGGTGCCTTCCCCTCCCTGAGAACTGGATATTTGGGTCCAGGTCTGCAAGTGGGATGCTGCTGACTGGGATGCTCTTGCCCTAGACCTGTTGTGTTCATCTGCTGGGCTGAGCTCTGCTCCCCACACAACTTGGGCTCACCTGAGGGGTTTGTTAGCCTCCCTGGGATGGTACCTGAACATCCCAACTTGAAGCTAGAGAGCTGTCCCTCTGGTTCCCCAGGTGGACACACACATCCATGCTGCAGCCTGCATGAACCAGAAGCATCTCCTGCGTTTCATCAAGAAGTCCTATCGTGTGGATGCCGACCGTGTGGTCTATGATGCCAAGGGCAAACAGCTCACCCTGAAACAGCTTTTTGAGCAGCTCCATCTGCATCCCTATGACCTGACAGTGGATTCCCTGGATGTCCATGCTGTAAGTGGTAGGGCATTGACTGTAAGATCACTCTTGGGTCGCTCTCACCCACTCCTGTACCCGTGACATGTTGTGCTTGTGGCAGGATGTAACAGCTCCTGGTTTTCCCATTTTGGGTGGTTTGGATCAGTCCCTGCTCACTGCTATGCTTGGACCCAGTGTGTGGGTGCAATATTGACCCTGATCTTCCTACTCCAGGGTCGACAGACATTCCAGCGCTTCGACAAGTTCAATGACAAGTACAACCCTGTGGGTGCCAGCGAGCTGAGGGACCTCTACCTGAAGACAGAGAATGCCATCGACGGCGAGTACTTTGCCACCATCATCAAGGTGAGGAGAGAGGGGAGGAGAGCACAGGGAGGCTGTGGTGCTGCTGTGGGTCCCCATGCCACAGTGTACTCTGGTTTGCAGGAGGTTGGCTCTGACCTGGAGGATGCCAAGTACCAGCACACAGAGCCTCGGCTCTCCATCTACGGGAGATCACCTGAGGAGTGGGCCAAGCTGGCCAGGTGGTTCAACACCCATAAGGTCTACTCTCCCAACATGAAGTGGATGATCCAAGTACCCAGGATTTAGTATGTGCTGTGTCTTACAGTGTGTGATACCTCACACCCAAAGAGGTTATGGGGTCAGTGGGCTGTGTTGTTCCTCTGCTAGCAGCTAATCCCTATCTCTGTCCACAGTGATGTGTTCAGGTCTAAGAATTTCCTCCCACACTTTGGGAAAATGCTGGAAAATGTCTTTGTTCCTGTGTTTGAGGCAACTGTCAATCCTCAAGCCCACAAAGAGCTGAGTGTCTTTCTACGCCACGTGAGTGTCACCCAACGATGTTGTGAGGTGTGGTGAGAACTCAGTTCCTGTTTGTGCACAGGAAACAGGGTATTGGCCCTGGGAAATGCCATCAGTGGGTTTGGGGTCCTTCTGCCACGTTCTGGGAAAGGGGAGGTGTGTCCAGAAATGTGGGGAAGGGTCAGACTCCCTGTGGGGCTGTGAATTGCTGCCCCTCACCTCCTGGAGAAGGTGTGACCTTTATTCCTAACCTTTGACAGTGCCTGAGGGTTTGTGAGGAGTGAGGTGTAAGCCTTGCCCCTCACTCTGCTCTTGGGTAGGACAGGGGTACAGGGCACTGCTGGGCTCTAGTGAGCTGCAGTGGGGCATGATGAGGTGAGGAGTATTGAGATGCACCTTTTTTGTTACTTTGCCATGCAGATCACTGGCTTTGACAGCGTGGATGATGAATCCAAGCACAGTGGACACATGTTCTGCACTAAAAGCCCAAAGCCAGAGCAGTGGAGCTCTGAGAAGAACCCATCCTATACCTACTATATCTACTATATGTATGCCAACATCCTGGTGCTCAACAACCTGCGCAGGTGAGGACCTGCCAAGATCTGCCTCCTGACTTTTCTCAGCTCTTTGGTTGCTGATGTGGGAGAAATGGGGTCCTCCTTGCTCTGTCCCTGGTGTGGTTTGGAGCTTCATGTTCCAGAGCAATCCAGACACTGCTTGGTAGGAAGTGTGATGGGACTAGGATGAAAGCTTAGGGATTGCAGAGATGCATCCACTGCGTGCACAGAGGAGAAAAGAGAACGAGTCATGTGCTCCCAGGTCAAGCTGGATTCGTGGGGAAACACTGGCAGGGGCAGAGCTGGACCTGAGGTCAGGTGCAGCCACCTAACTGTGCTGCTTGGCTGCTCTGAGTGCTCCTTCCCTGTGCCTAGGCAGCGTGGGATGAACACGTTCCTGTTCCGCCCGCACTGCGGCGAGGCCGGGGCTGTCACTCACCTGCTCGCAGCCTTCATGACAGCAGATAACATCTCCCACGGCCTCAACCTCAAGAAGGTAAGTGGAGTTAGTGTGCCACGAGCAGCCCAGGCCTGGCAGGGGAGGAGAAAGTGTTCACAGCTGCCACCATGGAGCTGGCGGTGACTTGTGCCTCTGCTTTACGCTGACAGACAGCCCAGCTCCAGGCAGATGTTAACTGATTCTCTGGGTTTCTCCAGATGTGTTTGGGGGTGTAGCTGAGAAACTTGCTCAGAGTTTGGGGGTTCAGCCTCACAGAACTATTGTAGTATGTGTCTGTTGTCAGACTGGTTCTGATGCTACCATACTGGTGTGAGCTGCCTTGGCCCCTCGAGCTCCACGTGGCCCTGAAGGATTGCTGGTTTGCCTGTTTCCTGGCACACATGAGCTCTCTGTGCTATATTCCCTGGCTGGGGCCTTGCCCGATCTGAGCAGTGACCCTGGAGAGGTGGAAGGTGCAACAACTTTATCCCTAACCTGGCAACTGTTCATCTTTGCAGAGCCCAGTGTTGCAGTATCTGTACTTCCTTGCCCAAATTCCCATTGCCATGTCCCCACTCAGCAACAACAGTCTCTTCCTGGAGTATGCAAAGAATCCACTGCCTGACTTCCACAACAAAGGGCTCATGGTGTCCCTTTCTACAGATGACCCTATGCAGTTTCATTTCACAAAGGTACAGTGAGCTAAGCACTGGGGATGGGACTGTGGGGGCCTCGTTTTTGGGGGAAACCAGCAGCATTTGCAGAGGGTCCAGCATATGCTGGGTCATCTGCCACTCTGCCAGGGCAGGTTCAGGTTGGATATTAGGAAAAATACCTTCACTGAAAGAGTGATTAAGCATTGGAAGGGGCTGCCCAGGGCAGTGGTGGAGTCACTATCCCTGGAGTGTTCACAAAATGAGTAGACACATTGTGATATGGTTTACAGGGCATAGGGGGGTTGATCAAAGGTTGTTCTTGATCTTGGAGGTGTTTTCAGTGATGTCTGGAACAGCTCCAGCAGAGCATGGGCTGTGCCAGCAGACACTGCTGGGCCCTGACACAGTCTGTGCTGCAGGAACCCCTCATGGAGGAGTATGCCATCGCAGCCCAGGTCTTCAAGTTCAGCACCTGTGACATGTGTGAAATAGCCAGGAACAGTGTCCTGCAGTGTGGCTTGTCCCACGAGGTGAGTGTCCTGCTGGGGTGTCCTGTCCCACCAGGTGAGTGTCCTGCTGGGGTGTCCTGTCCCAC